CAACCATGCAGCATACTCTTAGGCTCAGGGCTCTCAGAACGGCTTGGCTAAACTATGCAACTTGGGGGAAGATGCCAACCTTATAAAAACAGATACAACTATGTAGTAAAGTCATAGCCTCAGGCCTATGAGAACAGCTTGGCTAAACTATGCAACTTGGGACAAGAGCCAAACCGTAGAAAAAGATACAGCCATGTAGTTGAGTCATGGGCTCAGTCCTCTCAGAACGGCTTGGCTAAACTGTGTAACTTGGGAAAAGAGCCTAACCATAGAAAAACACATACAACCATGCAGTATACTCACAGGCACAGGCCTCTCAAAACAGGTTGGCTAAACTATGCAACTTGGGGGAAGAGGCCAACCATAAAAAACAGATACAACCACGTATATAGTCATAGGCTCAGGCCTGTCAGAACGGATTGGCAAAACTTTGCAACTTGGGAAAAGAGCCCAACCGTAGAAAACCGGATACAACCATATAGTTGAGTCACAGCCTCAGGCCTCTCAGAACGGCTTGGCTAAACTATGTAAGCTGGGAAATGATACCAACCGTTGAAAATCAAATACAACCATGTAGTATATTCATAGGCTCAGGCATCTCACAACGATTTGGTTATACTATGTAAGTGGGGAACAGAGCCGAACCGCTGAAAAACAGATACAACCATTCAGTATAGTCACAGACTCAGGCCTCTCAGAACGGACTGGCTAAACTATGCAACTTTGGAGACGAGACAAACCGTAGAAAAACAGTTACAACCATGTAGTTTAGTCATAGACTCAGGCTTCTCAGAAAGGCTTGGCTAAACTATATTACTTGGGAGAAGAGGCCAACCATAGAAAAACAGATACAACCATATAGTTGAGTCAGCCTCAGGCCTGTCAGAACGCCTTAGCTAAACTATGCAACTTGGGAGAAGAGCCTAACCATACTGAAACAGATACAACTATGTAGTTGAGTCATTGGCTCAACCTCTCAGAACAGATTGGCTCAACTACGTAAGTTGGGAGAAGAGCCCAACCATAGAGTAACAGATACAACCATGTAGTACTGTCATAGCCTCCAAAGGCTCAGAACGGCTTGGCTAAATTACATAACTTGGGAAAAGAGCCCAACCCTAGAAAAAAGATACAACCATGTAGGATAGTCATAGCCTGAGGCCTCGCAGAATGGCTTAGCTAAACTATGCACTTGGGAGAAGAGCCCATTCATAGAAAACCAGTTACAACCATGTACTTTAGTCACACCCACAGGCCTCCCAGAACAGCTTGGGTAAACTATGTAAGTTGGGAAAAGACCCCAACCATAGAAAAACACATACAACCATATAGTATATTCATAAGCTCAGGCCTCTCAGAACGGCTTGGCTAAACTATGCTACATGGGAGAAGAGCCCAACCGTAGAAAAACTGTTACAACCATGTAGTTCATTGATAGCCTCAGGCCTCTCAGAACAGCTTGGCTAAAGTACACCATTTGTGCCACAGAACACGGTTAGAAGCCCTGAAAACACGCAACATACTGTGTGCACTACCAGACCTCTCAGAATGTCTTGTCTAAACTATGTAACTAACCCGGGTAAGAGTGTAAAAAGAGCAAGAGTGTAAAAAGCCCAGAAATTACGCAATCCTTACGAGTTAGCTACCAGATAAAAATGCCGCTGGCGAGGCCGCGACATTGCAAGCTCTTCAGTGTTCAGAACCTCGGAGAACGAAAAGAGCTTTTCCATGCACTTTTAAAGCCACATGTAATCGCTCACTGAGGGCGCGATGTACTTCCCCGCGCGCTGCTGGAGCTTGTAAACTGAAAACTCGAAACTTGGCCTTTCACAAACGCACGGGATCCGAAGTCCTCCTGCGCCCTCTCGCGGTTGCCTAGAGAAACACCCTCTCCCAGGACCCAGCGAAGGAACTGTTCCCTAATTTTTTAGCGGGGTCCGAGCGCCACCTGGTGGCCTTATCGTGAATCATTGACATTCTCAATGGCCCAGACCTGTGTGCTTGTGGCAGGAGTGATGCTCTGCTCCCTCCCTGCTTGCTCTCTTGCCAGGAACTTGCCTAAGAACCAGAGCCTAGAAGACAAGGAGATCGTCAGGCTTTTGAGACAGATAAAAAGGACCCCCCTTCACTCATGTCTAAAGGACAGGAGGGACTTCAAACTTCCCTGGAAAAGAGCCAACATCGCCCAAAACCCCTGTTCCTACCATCAGATGCTCCAGCAGATTTCCCACCTCTTCAGCACACAGCACAGCCATGCTGCTTGGGACAACACCTCCCTCCATAAATGACTCTCCAGTCTGGATCTCAGCCTGCACCAACTGGAACAGACGGAAGAAGGCAATCTAGACTGTCCCTTTTGCGGAACTGCTGTTTGGGCGTGTTTCCAAGGAATTCATCTCTTCAAGTAGAAAAGGAATACAGCCCCTGTGCATGGGAGATTGTCAGAGAGGAAACTAAACAGCGCCTCTCCTTCATGAAACATCTGAAACGGAAATCATGAGCGAACAAAGTTAGTTTTAGGGAGAAGGACACAGTCGAGTTCGTCAATAAATACTTTTCTAATGGGATTTCTACGACCTGTGAAAGTTCTTGGGGGTTATTTCCTATTCCCAACAGGTGGAGTTTGTTTTCTTATAGAAAGGTTGTTAGGGCTGTATGTGACTAAAGACACTTTTCAGGGAGCTTAGTGCTACCTGCTGTAACAGGGGAACTGAAAAGAATCAGGAATTGAATCATGATAGAAACTTCTCTTTCCTTCTTTAAGAGAACAATGCAGCATCTCTAATCTGATGACTTTTCTAGTTGGATTCTTCTCAAAAAGGCCTCAGGGGCCTGGCAAACCTCAGCTCCCTGGCTTTGCTATACTCCACTTGGAACTGCACACGTGTCTCGACCACTTGAGTCTACTTCACTCAGACGAGGGAAATGAATGGTAGGTGACACGGGATGTTTTCAGGGGCCGGGACACTACAGGGCAAGATGACTTCTGCTCACATTACACGGCCTGAATTTATGCTCACGGGAATCCAAGCGCAAAGATGTTGGGAAGTTTCTGGACAGCTCACGGAAGAGGAGACACTTTCAAGGCATAAGACCGCTTTTCATTTTTACACTATTTGTCCTAATGAAGTTCTGGGTGGGGTTGGAGGAAAAAAAACAAGGTACTTGCTTGCACACAGTTTATTAAAAACCAAACTGACCCCAATTCTTC